CATGTTAACACCACAGGCCATTCTATGAGTAATGGCAGCATTAAGGTTCTTGACAAGGAACAACAACTCTCAAAACATCTATTTGTCCCACATTTTCATGACTGATCATTGCATGAATAAAAAGGCTGATGTTAAGCAGCTTAGTGTCATTTATTCTTACTTGTTGAATTGCGAAAAGTTAGAACGTCTACGTATCCTCTAACGTCCTCCCAAAGTTAAAACACAATTCCAATTATTTATCCTGTTATTTGAAACGTTGCCCTCACGGTAACAATAAATTTTAATATATTTTCATACAACCCATTTTTCCAAGCGGGTATCATCATCTTACGCTCGTACACTAATATGAATAACACTTTTTCCAGAACAAATTTAATCCAGCATTTTGGGAATCAGGATGAGTTTTCACCGAGCTTCCCTCGTATACACTATACCTGAAGTTTGGCAATGATGTTTACATTTCCACATTCCTTTGCGACAATCAGCTATCATGAGTCGCCGCATCACTCTTCCGGTTCGCTCATTTTCTCCACGAGAAACAGATGTAGGAGGTTAGAAGGGACTTTGCCGGTTTTTTCCCTAAAAATTGCTTTTCGAAAATTTTTAATGTGTTCGGGTGTACTATGGTGTTAACACCTAACGATGGTGTACGTCGTTATCAATAAACTCAATGTGTCCGTCCTTTTGGTTTTATATTTATAACAAGTGCTCTCATCCACGCTTTCTTTTTGAAACACCATTTGGCTGCAACCTCGGCGGCGAGTAAGTTGTCTGATAATTTAAATCCTTCCCGTATTGGTTGCTAGCATCATATCTGTGTCTTCAGCTCCTGATTACCGTTAAAATAGTTAACTAACGCCTAAAAATTTTTTTCCAATTTCCCAGTTACCAATTGACTGTATTTATATATATATATATATATTTTTTTTTTTAATAATAATATAGTTTATTCAACTGCCTCTGGTCGGTTTAACAAATTCTAACATAAAATTCTGAAAATCTCATCATCTGAAGTGATTTGGCAACGTTTTGGCACACGCCCACAATTCGTTCCATCTTTCAATACTGACATTGACATCCTTCGGCCTTCTGTCAAAGGGTTTCATGTCACTCATCATTCCATGACCACTAATTTGTGCAATCATCAAGTGGCTTCACGATGTAATGCTCCAATTTTTTAAATAATTTTTAATCTGTTTTTAACTTGTTCTTGTTATATTTTATATAAGTTTGACTATTGTACAATCTATCCAGCTGTCACCATGTTACTGGACGTTTCCCTCATCCTATACGTAAACAACAATTAGCAACATCCTCACATACTACTGTAAGTTGAGTCAATTTAAATTCATTTTACACCTTTGTTGCTACTGTTATCATTGTAATTGCAGCTCCTGATGATGATGGCAAAGTCCATTGAAAGCTAGAGAGAATTAAAAAAAGTATAAAGAGTCCTCTTTGCTTAAATTTTGTCGAAGTACCCAACAAAAGGCGGAAGCTTTAATTTTTTCACCTATATATATATAATATAATATATATATATATATATACTAAGTGACATATAAATCCGAAAACCCAGTTCAAATGGTTTTATTTTAATAAAATTTTGTATAAGTACTTAATGAAGCATAGTAAGTAAATGATAAAAATTCCAAAATGATTGCACTGCTTTAAAGCCCTTTGACCTTTAATAATGTGTGGATGCACCCTGATGTGCTACGCATTCTCCAACGCGCCTAGGCATGCTTCTGATCAGGTAGTCAATGTCCTCCTGTGGTATCTCATTCCAGGCAACCACCAACTCCTCTCGAAGTGCTTCTAGAGTCTGAGGAGGACGTTGCAAATTGAGCAATCTCCTACCCATCATATCCCACACGTGCTCAATTGGGGATAAGTCGGGAGATCTTGGTGGCCATGGTAACAATGTGACATCATTATGTCGAAAGAAGTCTATTGTGACTCTTGCGACATGTGGTCGGGCATTATCTTGTTGGAAAGTTGGATCTGCCAGGGTGTCAAGATAGGGTAAAAGATGGGGTTCTAGAACTTCGTGGATTTAACGCTGCGCGTTCGTGTTACCTCTGATGAAGATTAAAGGTGACCTGGAACCATAAGCTATAGCACCCCAAACCATAACTCCAACACTGTGATGAACATGTCTTTCAACAAAAAACTGTGGATTCCTCCTTTCACCACGTCGCCTTCTAACCCTGGCACGACCATCGTGCATGCCTAAACAAAATCGAGACTCGTCACTAATGACAATACTGTTCCATTCCTGATCCCAGAGTGACCGTTGACTGCACCACTCAAGGCGCTTACGTCGGTGTTCTCGAGTTAAAGGGAGGACCCAGTGTGGCCGGTATCAAAACAAGCCAAAACTTCTCATTCGTCGGTAAACACTTCGCATGCCAATAGGTCTTCCGTGTTCTGCAAACCATTCATTTGCAATGGACCTGGTAGTGGAGAAACGGTCCTTTAAGGCCAATAATCTTAGGCGGCGATCTTCACGGTCTGTTGTTCTACGGCGGCGTCCAGTGCCCCTTGCTCTTTGCCCGAAAAGAAAGTCCAGCTTCCCGAAGTCCCACTATACGGCCCCTATCAAACTCACTAAGTTGACGAAATCGTACAGGTCTTCGTACTCTAGGCATCGTAACCGATCGTAAAGGATGTCAAGAACCAAAATCCGCCAACGTTGATTCTTTACTGCGGCTGAAATATTCATTTTTAGAGCGTTAGTTAATTAAAAAAAAAGCAGTATAAAAACCGGAATGTCCAACTGATAAGGCTGAAAATTTTTTCACTTGTTACTTACAGTAAGATAAATACATTCACTAACTTCTATTAAAATAAAACCACTTAAACTGGGTGTTCGGATTTATATGTCACTTTATATATATATATATATATATATATATATATATAAACTTGAGACGTGGTCATTGTCGTCTAGACCAGTTAGGTGAAAAATTAAAGCTTCCGCCTTTCGTTGGGTACTACGACAAAAATTTTAAGCAAGGAGGACTCTTTATACTTTTTTTATTCTCTCTAGCTTTCAATGGACTTTGCCATCATCATCAGGAGCTGCAATTACATTGATAACAGTAGCAACAATAGTGTAAAATGAGTTTAAATTAACTTAACCTACACTGGTATGTGTTAGCAATATCCTCAAGACATCAAATTGAAAGAAAAATAATGTTAAAATCAATAATTTCAAATTATTTAATGTTAAAGTAAATTAGAACTATCACTTCCAGCATCTCGATCTTGATGTAAATTTAACCTTAAAATTGACCGGTCCTAATGCTGGATGTATTTTTAACAATAAAATTGCTAAAATTAACAAGAAACTAACGACACTAGTGTTTCACTTGAAGCAAAATGCGGCAGTCATTTTGGACATGAAAGAAGAGTTAACTTTTATTTTTTATAACAAGAAGTATAGTTAGTTTTTACAATAACCAAATCTAATAAGTTGGTAGCGTTCAGTTTGAATGTAGCCTCTGAACGTAAATAATAAAACCAAACAGTCCGCAAGTTCCTCATAAAACTAAATATTTTTATAGTTAATTAAAACTAAAACATTTCAAATCTACAATACGGAAAATAAAGGTCTAAATTTGATTAGTTTCATTAGATGACCTTATTAAATTTTTTAAAACGCGTATTAAATGCTAAACTGTTTTCAAGTTCTGACAGTATTGTATCTCCTAAGGAACTTTAGAACCATTATCTTTTTATTTACTACAATAAAACTTTCAAACTTTAATTAAACCTAATTTATGACAATTCTTGGGCTATTGCAAAATGCAAATGCCAAATCCTCCTTGAACGTTCTTTAAAGAAGCGTTATTATTATCCTGAATAATATCCTGAAATCATAAAGGAACGTTTATGAATATGACCCTAATCATGCCTTATCGTAGAAACAGTTATCCTTGATACATATTGTATTCCATATTGCAAATCTGTGAATGGCATCAGCGAAGCTATTATACCAACTTTTTTCTTCCTTTCTTTATAATTACAGCTACGAAAGCCATGAATATGCATAGCATCATCATGCCGATGCTGCAAACGCTAGGTTGTTAATTAGTTGTAAAATAATCTTATTATGCACTTTCTGGGAAATAATCATTATACCTCTTTTCCGACGGAGGCAAATTGCTTACAATTAGAATGGGAAAGTTTTTGTTTAATGACGATCGTTATGTTTAAGTTGCATTCAAGGAAATTAGGGCGAGATGATGAGGCTGGAGACTTAAGCAAATAAAAGTAGAGCGAAATTTAATTAAAGCACCTTAGTATGACTGTGATTCCACAAAACACTAAAATATGCTTGAAGGACTCCTCCTCATCGCCATAGGGCATGGAAATCGCATGATTCGCCACCCCATAGAGATGACGCCTTAAAGTATTCTCAATTCAGTATTCTATCCCAAGTTTGTGATGAAAAAAAGTTTCTCCATCTACTCCAGCTAAATGTTAAGATAACCTAGCTAGCTCAAGGTTTGGTTGAGCGCTCCTTAGTCGTTTTTTACCAATGCAGGCGCGTAGGCAGAAGCCTGAATACCATGGCACCGCGGCTGCTATAACGAGCGTACTTCTCCGACCAGGTGGTTATCCTCGTATAGGCTCTTTTTCAACTGGTACCGAAAATTAACAGAGCATCCCCTTTGAATTGATAAAACGAGCAGAAAACATCTGCAGATTTGATGTGTCAGATTTGGTTCAGGTGAATCAAAACTGTCAAGGAGCACAGAAATCAAGATACGATTATTTCCTTACTTGATACCTGATTTCCTGAATATTATTCTCGATACACCCTATATACTGTTAACCACTTCTGCTGCTAGATCGAGCAAAGCAATGCTTGGCAAATCTTTTCCAGACCATTTAATCGGTCCACTTCCGTAGCAACGGGCAGTTTCCTTTATCGCCGGAAATCCAACGAAAAAATCGAATAATACCAGTCTAACGGTTCCAGAACGGTGAAGTAGAAACGCGACTGTGTGTGGTGATATACGTACATTTTTGGGTGCTGTGCTTCTTAACATATCTGGAATAAGATCAATTGTGGTGAAATAGGCTTTGAGTGACAGCTGAAAACATTATGTGATTAAGAGTGATTGAGTTTAGTCACTTTCCTCCTAAGATTTTTTTGTGAGCGCCATTTGTTCAACCTCCAGATTCTGAAATATTAAGTGCCGAACACTAGTTTGTGGAATAGTAACCCCTCATATAGTACATTACGTTCAGTTGTTTTGGTTTGGGTGCTACCTCGTCCATTTTCTTATGGGATTTTAATCTTCAGCGTGGGAGGCATTGCGGAGTACCACCTAATAGAAACGCATAATCAACAATTTTCAACTGTAGTTAACCATAAGAATTCAGAAAGAAATAAAATGATCAAAAACGCTAACACACAATACTTCTTGGATTATCGTCCAATTCTCAAATCCAAAATATTCAATGAAACAAAAATAAGTACACTCGTTTTTGTTGTTTTTAGATCTTTGCTCATCTATGAAATTGTAATTTACATTTCAAGAGATTTCTCTATGCATCTTTTTGTTCATAACTGTAAGTGAAATTTTGTAACGAATCACTGTTAATATACAGGGCGGCGCGGTTGGATCCGACGCATTGTAAATGGCCATAGAATTGATAATATTCAAGCTAGAGGAGGCAAATAATTTTTTGGCAATGGCAATCTAAATTTATTTCAAAAAAGTTGCAAAAGCTGCGTATGAAAAACAATTTCTTTTAGGGGCCGCTCTCCCTCTTTGAGTGATGCCTTCTTTGAGAGGGTTATCGTATTTTCGCAATGTCCGTAGCGATTTTATTCTGGATTGTTGTCTCCAGTCCCTGACTCGCACGGCTTATCTCCGTAAACCCCTCAAAAAATAATCGTATCTGGCAAGCGAGACACGAAGTCACATGAAAACAGGACGCTTACGATTCGCATGTATACCCCGTGAATTCACGGGCTATAAAAGATGCCACAACTGGACAAAAATAAATACGATACCAACACAAATTGGTTCTAACAGTATCAAGCCACTGCATATACAGACACGGTATCTCTTTTTATATAACTTTTGGAACTTATTATACGGTTTTTGTTCAATTCAATTCAATCGTCTTTGTTGTAACAAATCCATACTGTACAGTTACAAATGGCAATTAATAAATAAATGGCGTTTATTGACCAAGAGTTAAGGAAACCATTTACAGGACAATCCTAAGAAAAGGTAAATCAGACTAACAAAAATAGAAAACATAAAAAAGCAGGTGGTTCCTTCTAAATGAATAAATAATAGTTTTAAAAAACAGGCTTTTATATTATATTTATTAACAGAATAATTCAAGTCAAAGTAAAAAGCGTGTGGTGCTGGATATATTAAATGTTACAATCATTCTATCGGCAATTATCTATGAGAGTAGAGTTTTGAAAATATAGTAAGATGTACCTCACGCTTTTTACTCTGAATTGGATTATTCTGATAATAACTTAAATTCGCGCAAAGCTTCTAAAGACTCATCATTAATTTTCATTTGTTCTCGCCTCTTTCTATCGCACACCTTTTTTAATTTCTTTTCTTCTTCACTTAACTTCTTCATTTTCCCCATTGTTGATATACGGATACCTGTTAAAATTGAAAACACATGCTATGCAACCTGGACTTAAACCATAACACTCAAACTACAATTTTATATTTGCAACATTCATTCCCTCATAGAATTTTCATTGCCTCACTTTCTAAGTGAGGGAATGACCGTGAGGGAATGACGGATTTGCATAAACGACACCGTAACCAACAGTAAGTACATTACCTCAAACTGATTTAGCATTTTGTGAATGCATGTTACTCCCCAAAACAAGAAAAGAATCATTAAAACATTCGAACAGTATAGAGAAATGTCTTGTTCTAATTATTGAAATCCAATACTTTTTTGCAGCAACTCTTTTCACTATTAAGAAATTCCGCCATGTTGACATTATTAGCAGTATTGCCAAGAACATAACAGCTGCGTTCAAAAATATCAAATGGTGTGACCACAAATCGAATATTTATAATGGGTGAGGGAATGACTTCATTTCAAGGGACATGGTTTAAATAGATTTTTTTATATACATATGTATTTTTTAGCAATAAAAGCCTGACTATACATATTACCAAATATTTTAGTAATATTCAATTTTTTTATTATTAATTTCAGACCCAGGGACGAGATGAGGGAATGACTTTTAGACTAATAAATTAACCGTATTTTTTTGTGTCAATATATTATCTAAATTATTGCTTTTAAAATATTAGTGAAGATACTTATTGGTATAATAAAAATATTGAATTGATGATAAATCCATGCAACTTTGCATCAATGGTACAGGGCATGAATTTCGAAATTTGCTGAGAAATACCCACATACATACATACGAGTATATTCAGACCAGGCTTATAAAAGCGTGTTAAAAAACAAACAAGAAAAAGAAGCAAAAAAATATTTCATTCAAGTGAGAAACATACAGGGTAGCGCATCGAAAACGAAACAGACGCATTTACTGCCAGCTCAGTTTTTTTTTGAAGAACGCTGAGACCCGTCGATTTTGTTTTCGATGGAGACATAATTTTGGCAAAAAATCAAGTTAACACGTGCAGCCCTCTGGGCGGGGGTGACACCAACCCCAAAATCTTAAATGGAAAGGGGGGCCGAGTGATACCTTATCATAAAGGTCTTTCAATTCCCTTTATAACGATATGAAATTAATGTAATTCAGTTTAGTAGTTTTGAAGATTTATCGATTTAAAGCTTAAAGTAGACTTTAATAGGTACATCAGATTAGTTTGTACTACTTTCAGTAGAAATTTGACTAAAATAATTTACTTAATAAGCAAATGCTTTTCTTCACTACGCCCATGCCCATGGTTTGTTTATCATTTTGTTGTTGAAAATAGCTATAGGAGCGTTTCTTTGTGGCAAAAAACTTATTTCTTCAAGAAAGGTAAGGAAACAACTCGTACTTATTTTAAATAGGAATTTAGTACATAGTTTGCGATTGATTTGACCAAACTTTGTTGCTAAAATAACTTGTAACGCTTTATTACATAAACTAACCATGGTATATTCCACAGCAGAAAGAGTTGAAATTATTGAAATATTTTTCGGAAATAATCAGTGCGCTAATAAAACAGCAGAAATATTTAATGAGCGACATGAGAACAGTAACGTGCATCGAAAATATGTTCTAGAACTTGTAGCTAAATTTCGGGAAACTGGGTCAGTCGCCAATAAAAAACGCAACATTGAAAATCCCATAAGGAACGAAGCAATAGAAGTGGGAGCTTTAGGGCAAGTTTATGTAGATCCTACGTTAAGTACCCCCAAATTGGAGACTGTGTGTGGTGTTAGTCGACGTCCTGTCCAACGGATTCTAAAGGCCCATAGTTTTCATCCGTATAAAATTCACCTGGTACAAGAACTTAATGAAGACGATTTTGATCGGCGATTACAATTTTGTCAAGATATGAGTAAACGAATTATCAACGATGGACATTTTCTATTCAACACTTGCTTTTCCGACGAATGTTCCTTTTTCTTAAATGGCGTAGTAAATCGTCATAACTGCCGATATTGGTCCGATTCTAATCCCAGAATTTATCATGAGATTCATACACAGCAGCCTCAAAAATTAAATGTTTTGGCTGGTATTTTTGGCGATCATTTAGTTGGTCCTTTTTTCTTGCCTGTAAATTTGACCAGTGAAATGTATTTGGAATTATTGGAAGATGCCATAGATCTTGAATTAACAGCCATAATTGAAAATCAGAATGATCGGCGGTAAATTGCGAATAGGTTGATGTTCCAACAGGATGGTGCCCCATCACATCACGCTTTACGTGTTCGACAATATTTAGATGAGACGTTTTCAGATAGATGGACTGGTAGAAGAGGTTGCCACTGAATGGCCCCCAAGATCGCCAGATTTATCACCTTTGGATTTCTTTATGTGGGGTCATTTAAAAAGCAAAATCTATGCTACTCAGCCAACATCATTAGAAGACCTGCGACAAAGAATTGTGAATGAGTGCCTTCAAATTACTCCTCAAATATTGCAAAATGTGCGGCAACGTTTTGACCAAAATCTTTATTATTGCATGGAGAGTCACGGTGTCCATTTTAAATATTTACTTGCCTAACGGGTCAGTTCATTCTCCATTTTTAAATTAATTTGCTGCCAAATGTATTGATCTCGACTAATGATGATGTATTAGTTTTATTTAAGCTTTAAATCAATAAATCTTCAAAACCACTAAACTGAAATACATTAGTTTTATATCATTATAAAGGGAATTGAAATACCTTTAAAATAAGGTATCACTCGACCCCCCTTTCCATTTAAGATTTTGGGGGTGGTGTCACACCGCTTAGGGGGCTGCACGCGCTAACGTGATTTTTTATCAATCTTGTGTCCCCCTCGAAAACTGAGCTACCAGTAAATGCGTCTGTTTCGTTTTCGATCCGCCACCCTGTATAATAAATTGTTTAAGTAATTCCCAGCTATTCCCAGAATGCTGTTCACACTTTCAGCATGTATATCACAATAATTTAACATGGCATTGAAAGTTTCACACTTATGTGGGTGCGTTTAAAACTAAATTTGTGCGAGCCCTGTCACAGTACAAGGTTTTAACGGTACGAGTTTGTATAGATGGGACATTAAAGTTTAGTTGAGTCACAATCTCATTAGCATCAATTTGATTGTGCAGTAGTTTATGCAAGAGACTAATTAACGCACGCTTTCTTCTCAGCTCTAACGACTGCTTTTGAAACCTAGACAATAACAAACCTTCAGATATACCCTGCTCAGGATATGCACAGTCAACTTTGAAAGATAAAAATTTGAGAAACTTACTCTGAAGATACTCAAGAGATTCAATGTTACAGTTGTAAATTGGGTTACCAATTAACGATGCATATTTCAATTTCGATCTAATACATGGCGGCTGAAGCTTCTGCAGTTTCCCGCAATAAAACCGTACGCCCGTGAGGCGATTCATAATCGTGTTATTAGGCTTAACCTTAACTTAAAGCCTAGCCTACAGGGAAAATAATTACTTCATAGACAAAACCTTATCCAAAAGCAGAAGTCCTATACTGCTTCGGTGTCACTCCCTCTAATCAGGGGGAGACATAAGACGAACGTATAATTGAAACAGGAGAGAAAAAAAAATCAAGCGTTTAACAAACAATTTGTATAGGTTTTTTTTTGAAAATCGTTAACAACGTTTTCGTCAAATGAATCAATTAAATTCACCGCTTTGTACGTAAACGAACGTTGAAAAATGGCGCCCCTATATTGCAGAATTGTGGGAGACGGTTATTGCGCGTATTCAAATTTTTGTGAATCAGACTGCTAACTAACTAAACAAGCTTTTGCCTAAGATAAGTGGGAAGAGAGGCTTTTAATATTTAAACAATTCATGGAAGCTGTTGAATGAGAAACGTACTCGTACCTAAATTGTGTATATAGCGGGAGCATGTATTTTCCAGCCGGTATTTTGTTATTTCGGGATTACAAACAAAGTTGCAGTATCAGTACATTTCTTTCACAGTAATTAGTTAAACTTTAGTAAAGGTTTTCGTGTTGAAACCAAATGTAACAATTTTTTTTTGTTTAGCTAGCATAGGTACCGTGCTAGTTTTCAATGGTATGACTACTCAACCAAGTATTAATGGTAGCCCAGAAAAAAATCCTAAGTTAGAAGTTCTTTATAGCCATAATAGGCTAAAAGGAGCAAAAGTAGAGATTTTTTGAAAAAACTTAAAATTGGCAATATCTCGAAAAATAGAAAACTTTTACTAAGATCATGCTGATTTTATCTGATTGATCGGAAGCCAATCTACCTTTCGTGGAGTATCAGTAAATTTTTTTCACAGTAATTAGTTAAACTTTAGTAAAGGTTTTCGTATTGAAACCAAATGTAACAATTTTTTTTTTTTTTTTTTAGCTAGCATAGGTACCGTGCTAGTTTTCAATGGCATGATTACTCAACCAACTATTAATGGTAGCCCAGGAAAAAATCATAAGTTAGAAGTTCTTTATAGCCATAATAGGTTAAAAAGATCAAAAAGTAGAGATTTTTTGAAAAAACTTAAAATTGGCAATATCTCGAAAACTAGAAAACTTTGACTAAGATCATGCTGATTTTATCTGATTGAACGGAAGCTAATCTACCTTTCGTGTCACGATGGCATGTCATTTCTGCGACACCCTGTTCACATGTATTGAAAATACTTAATAAAGACGTTTATTATTATTATTTAAGAGAGCTTAACAGAATTTAGCTCTGTGCCATTTAGATGTTGAAGACAACAATCAAGAATAACCCTGCTGTAATTCCATTACTATTATAAATTTCTATTACCACTCTCAAGTTTAAACTGAATTTGTTTATCCTAGCTTGAATACTAGCAATTTTGCAGCCATTTGAAATGCTTCAGGTCCAAACGTGCGTTATATCCTACCTAGTCTAAACACTGGTGATTACATTTTGCATACAGCTATATTAGAACATAATTCAACAATACTATTTTATAACTCATTATACCTTCTACCATAATACGGTAATAAGCTTCCATATACGTATGATACGGGTAAACACATTGTCCATCGCAGTTAATGCGTGCAAATTAATTTGCTGCCCCAATCCGTTGACAAACAGAAATGGCACAGTGTCATCAGGTGCTTCCTGCGATATTTGCTCTTCGACGATTTCGACGTTAAGTTAAATTTCTCATTTGAAAGCATAATGGGGAAGGCGCCATATTCTTATGTATCTTTCTATTTCAAAAGGGTCCATGTTTAACTGACAAAGGACAGGTTCTAGAGATGCTTAAATAAAACATGAGCAGAAAGAAGTATTTTCATCATCACACATAACGTGATGAAGCTATCGTCGAAGACTTGAAACTAACTATTCATTTTTTGTCCGGTTTGTGCACAAGTGTTACTGAAACTTTTCTATGAAAGAATTTAACAAGATTTTGCAGGTAATTTTCGCGTCGAAATAAAAAAAATAAGCAACCTGTTATGACTGACAGTAGACAGTACAGCTAAATTACCATAGTTCACTTAAGTCATAAAAACTCCTTTTTCGTCGACATTCGTTATTTTCGCTGTCAAAAATAACAGAACAAAATGCATAACGATTCGTTATTTTTCCTTAACTTGACTTGATCTACTCATCAGGGTAGGCCGGAGGGCTTTTGCCCAAAAATTACTGAGATTCTAACTGGCAGAAAAGCGAATCTCTTTGATAAAAAAATGATAAAGATAGATTATACGGTTATGAAAATTATATGAAAAAAGCAGTCAATGTAAAGAAATAAAGGATAAATCATAGCTTTAGATGATCAGATTGTTAGAGGAGTGCAAGTCTAGATCTTTTGTGCCCGTGAACGGGTTATTTTTCCTGCATTACAAGCACTCTAGTATCTGGAAAAATAATACCACATTCATATAAGCATCCATACGCTACAGTTTGCTATATTTATTGAGATCATAATAATAAGGTACAACATCAATTATTTTATAACAGGAGATTCGGTGTTTTATTACTATTATATGTATTTTATGTCAGTTTTGCAAGTACAGGTTATTGTTACTTACTTATCATTGCGGCATTTCTTCCAAATTTTGCATATCCTGTTTCCTTAGACGGTATATTCTTACATTTTTTTCATAAACTCCTGAATTCAAGGGGTTATGGGCCTCAAATGTTTGCATCTTTAGAGCTCAAGTGTCTTGAGGGCTCAACCAACACATACTACTACATATCTACTACCCGTGAACATGAATTGAATGATAGCAAAATCTGTGTTGATAGCTAGCGACAATTGTTGATTGAGATAAATACGTTCTGATGACTCTCTGCAATTATGCTTTTCTAAATCGGCTCAGGTTACTGGGACTACTGGGAATATTGACCTTATGGCCCAAGAATAACATCTTTCATCGTGAATAAAAAAAAAACTTTACAAAACAACAGCTCTCATCCAGTTTTATGGTCTGCAACCTCTTGCTTACCAGCCTATAGACAGCAATAAGCAATGTAAATTGTGAATTCAGACTCAGAATGGTCGATGTAATAGTGCACCACAAGGTGAGAGATGACTCATCGTATGACGCCATAGAAGAACCCGATGACCACGATGACAAGCAGACAAATAACTGGTACCGCTGCTTTCTTATGTGGTACCCAATGAGGTGCTATTCGTATTGCTGCAAAAAGCATGCAGGACGATCTGAGGATGAGGAACTGCAACTTTCGTTGCTCGAATACGTTAAGGTAATTTTGATGTCGAACTATGTTATGAAAAAGAGTTACAATTAGATTTTGAAAACATTATCGTTGTATTCTGACTTAAACAGTTTCTAATGGGGAATCTCTCAAAATTTAAATTGTGATTTTTCCTCAAAAATGTATTCTGATTATCACCTTTTTCTATGAACAAGACATGGCAAAACTTGCTCTTTACGAGGGATGTCTTTTAAGTTTTGCATATGGAAATAAAACAACACGGTAGGTAGTTTTAAATGTCTTTATTGTTTTTCGAAGTATTCTCCACGAAGATTAATACACATCTGCATACGCTCGTACCAAAACTGCATTTTTTAATGCGTCAACTGCTTCTTCTGGTGATTGGAACCTTTGACTACGCAGTCTGTCTTTAATTTTCGGGAAAGTAAAGCAATCGTTAAGACTTACATCGGGACTATATGGAGGATGGTCCAATAATTCCACGTTTTCTTCCGTTAAATACTGCCTTGTTCTTTGGGCTGTGTGCGAGCTTGCATTGGTGGAGGATGATTCTTCTTTCGGGGTTGATTTTTCGAAGCTCGGTGATGACTTTTGGTGAACAAATGGTGGTATTCCAATCCGCAGTAACAGTTCTTTGCTCATTAAGAGAAATTGTTGCAATATGAGCCGCTTTTGACACAAATGTCGCGACCATCTTTTTCGAAACACTTCGAGAACGGATGACTTTTGTTGGCTTTTCTTCACCTTGGAACACCCAAACAGCCGACTGACGTTTATTTTCTGGTTCATAACAGTAAATCCGCGAATCATCACCACTAACAATGCTGTACACATTTTTTGAGTTTCCGGAATTGAAATGTTCAAGCGTTTTTTGACACTAATTAACCCTGGCTGCTTTCTGCTCTTCAGTCAACAGGTGGGGCATCCAACGAGAAACTAATTTTCTTACTCCTAATCCTTCATGTAACATTTTTTGAATTGAAGTCTTCGAGATCTTCAAGGACGCCTCAATCTCGCGATATGTCACATTTCTATCTTCAATTATGAATTTGCGCACAGCATCGACGTTTTCCTGGGTGACTGCCATTTTTGGTGCACCCACCCTGGAATCGTCGCTAAGACTCACCCGACCACGTTTGAATTCTCCATACCAACGGGAAAGTGTCGACTGATGTGGCGCTTCGTTACCGAAAACAGACAGTTATTCAGCAAGGCTGCAATAATTGTCTCTGAAGGTTGTAATAAATTATGGCGCGAAAATGTTCTCGGTTGAGTTCCATTTTTCTAATCACTTGGTGACACTTAAAAATTCACTGTAGTGAGAACACTGCACGTGTTGTTGTGAAACTTTGAATTTAAGTTTACTAAAGGGTGAGGTTAAGATTCAGTACTGACGTTCGATCCGCGCGGCCTACTATGTTTCTATATGCAAAACTTAAAATACATCACTCGTATATATCGTGCTATTCAAAAAGGAACCTCCTCCCACCTAATTTCTGAATAGATCAAGTTAGCAAGTTGAAACTCAAAATGATAATGTTGGTACATAGAACCTAGAATTAATTTCCTGCGCAGTGCACCCCTTCGTCGATACTTTTGACTTCATCTCCACTTAGGATTTAACCTCTTACCTCCAGTCTTCGTGATTTTAGCGTGACAAATGACAACTGAAAATGTCAAGAGAACGTATGGGCGCTACCTTGTATCATTTTTTATATGAAATGGAGAATCATATGATGAACTATTTTGATACCGTTTTTTAGTCAACAACCATTCATAAAAATCCTATAGTATATTGTATAATTCTTCTTCTCTTTCTGTTGGAATGGTCTATCTGTATGTGCAATAGGATATGCGAAACTTCTGCTCAAAGGACCACAGATTTTGATATTTTTTCAAGAGAAATGTTCCATATCTAATTACATACTCAAATAGGAACTTCCAAGAAAAGAAGTCTGATATAGCATACTATTGCGTTTTGATGACTGGTTGTTAAGTTATAAGTAATCCAATGTATAAAAACCTGCTATTTTGATAACTTGTCAGTCCATCATTTTGAAAGATACTGATTTTTTGTTACATTGTTACAGATTAGTTATAAGTAGCTATAAAATAGGTTTTTACATGTCCGTCATTCCGTCCAAAAATATGTTCAAAGATGGCGTCCTATCGCTGAAAGTTACGCTAAAATATAGTATTCGTGCATAATTTTATTACCCCGAATTTCAGCTCTTTAACTTGGCTTAAATTTATTTCTAAAAATCATTGTGTCTATAGGCATACATGTATTTATTTCCCACTCCAAGAAATTATTCCGTTCTAACAATTTTTTTCGATGAGATGCCAACTTGTATTATTTTATTGTCAATATTAATATGAATAGTAAAAATTCCAAAAGAGTTATGTTATTTTTTTATAAATTAATCATATACCCTACCGAACTAACAATGTACTGTATTTGTTAAACATACTAAATACGTAATTCCGTAGCTTTACGATTTTATTACAAACAATCATTAAATCCAGGTTTGGTATAAATTCGCAGTAATTCCAGTTTCCCGAATTTCATTTTCAGTTTTATTTCATTTAATACATGTGGCGTTATAATCTCTTATCGCTGTATAGTGTGATATGTTATTTTATTTGCATTTTCATTATTAACTCTTACAGTTTTAAGTAAGCCGAACTTCCATATAATAGACACATAAAGCGCCTATACTTTTTCATTCTTTCAGCTCCATGGCGCATTTTCCAATTCACAAAATTTATTCTCAGTGAGAAACGCTTCAAAAAATTACAATTGGCTATAGAAAACGATATTATTCAGAAACAAAATGTAATTAAAACTGTTGCAAACACAGAGTCTCACACCTGTGAAGTTATTTCAATGTCAAATTTCGTTTTTCGAACGAAAGGTCCTCTTTTTGGCAATCTGCAATGGAAACAATGGAAAATCTACGTTTGAATATGTATTAAAATCTAAGATCAGGGTCACATCTGAAGGCTAAGTGAAGGTGAAATGTGTTTTGCTATGCAAAATTCCCCAAAGTTTAGCGGTATTATCAATGAAACACATCATTATGGACAGGTGCTTAGTATCATTTCAGTGGTGACCTTGGATTCGACGTTCAACCTCACACCTTCAAGGCAATTTTTCGAGGTCATTTTTCCTTTTAAAAGGGACCCTCGTTCTGGATACCGGCAATAGAAAATGTGGTTCTGATATTTTCTCATGTACTACATATTATGACCTTGACGATGATACTCAACTTGATAAAATTTTAAAAAATACGAGTTGAGCTCGAAATTACTTTGAAGGTTAGACTGAACGTTGATACTACTAACATTCTTGTTGGGAGTTGCCAAATAGATGATTTTTTCATCGGTAATACTGCTAAAATTCTGGGAATTCAGCCTAGAGACACATACTTGACCTCTATTTAACCTATAGATATGACTCAGATCTTAGATTTTAATACATATTCAAACCTAGATTTTCTGTTATTTTCATTCTTGGCATCAAAACGAGGGCTTTTCGTTTAAAAAACAAAAGTTGAATTAACTTTGATGGTGGGGCTCAAGGTCAAATTAAAGGTCACCATGAACTTCCTGTTCAGAGCTAGTATAGAATTGACCGTGGACTTCTTCAAAAATTTATTTCCTGGAAAAATACGGAGTCGTTACACTACTTTTGTTACACCCCGTATATATTTTCGTTGTGATTCGGGATCGTCCGAGAGGCTAACCAATTAATTTATTCATTCCTTTATCGGTGCTAAATACACTTGCGAGCTTACACAGGTGAAAGTAAAATTTAAAAAGCGAAAGTTTAAATTCACAAAACAATAACATTTTTTCTAAAGAACAACAATAACAGAAAACTATAGATAGATATTATGAGTTTAAAATTCATTGGAACAAAAGATCATCTCTGCTCAGATATCTTCGAATTTCTTTGGATCCCTTCCGAATTTGGATATCTTCAGACATATTGGTATCATTTTTGGGCTATATTGTCAACAGAAGAGGTGTTAGATCTTCTTGTATTACAGCAGATCTCCTTGGGTTTCCTTGGATGTCAATGAATTGCCTCAGGTTTTGGATCATCTGAACCGGGAATCTCCTTGGATTTCCTTGAATTTCCTCAACTGGGATTGAAAACATAATCACTGTCGCTCCTCTCAAAATGGCCAAACGTAATGCGATAAACGTTGAGCTATAGTCAACTGCTCTGTAGACATTCCACAGAGCTTTTTTATGCCACGGGTTGCAGACCGATCATAGCTGGCGAATTATGCTCAAAACCTCTTGCCTTTGCAACATATCAACTCAAAATATAGTGACTAATCCAATGGGCAGGGGCCGAATAGTGAAACATATGACAACTTGACTGAACGGGATATGTTGTTACATGCATATTAGCAATCAGTGGGGGTTGATAACTGACACCTATAAATAGTTCACTAAGATGTGTAGCAAGGTCTTCATGCCTCTCACCAGCACTGAATGGCGGTTCCGCTTTATGACCTGAGTGTGGTCGCCCACCATCACTAAGGCTACAGACTTACCTCCACTTGCTTGTCTAACTATAGTAGCTCACACTGCTCCAGAATCCTGCGGAACAATACTACCTGGACTATAGAGGCTTATTATGGATGTATAAATATAATACTCGGAGGTAGAGAGCAACAGAGTGATCTCAAACAAGGTTTAACGGGTCGTCGCTTGTATAACGCAATTTTAGGGCTCTTTCAACCGCCGAATGGATAAGGCGACCCTTCTGACTCAACAGCCCTTATGAAATATACTACACCTCATTTGCTTTCAAGGTCTCGTTCGCACTTTAACGGCTCGGCGGGGTCGAACACCTTCCAGCCGCCCTTGAAGGATATAGAGGGTGCCTCCACTCGAGACGCATTAGCTTGCAAATGATGAAACAAAATTTGGAATATACGATATCGTTCCATCAATAGCTTAACGCTATGCTATTTCCTCAGCCTTTGAAAACCAAATCGGGGAAGGCGTGATTAACATCTTCTCTGAAGCATCTAAGAAAAATGTTGGGCTGGCTGTGGAAGCCTCTGCAAGTGGTCTATATTATGAATTAGCCAGCTTGACGCAGATCAAATTAGCTAGCATAGCCTCAGCTACAAAGAAGCATGCCCACAGAAATAATATAGGCAAAAATATTAGGATCTGAATGGTTAGCAGACTCAATTATTCTAAGCTTATAACGATAACAGCAGTATACTGCCGCTTGGCACTTGCGAGCGCTTTCACCAGTAACAACATAACTGTTACCTGGGTAAAGGGTCATTCACAATCCAAGGATAATATCATAGCTGAAAGGCTGACAAAAAGGACTGCTGATTCCAAAATGCTAGACCCAGAGCGCCTCTCCATCTTATTCATCGGTTCCCTGATAGCTATGCGAAAAGAGCACACTCACAACGTCTTAAAAAACATGTATGATAGTCGGGCTACTCATTCGCTAAAGAATTCCTCAGCTCTCTTAGTGAGTTCAGACAACAACTTGGGTTTGCCACATGCACTGCAACTGGACAGTGTCAACTACGGAAACATATCTGTAATATGAGATTGAGTGAGACATTCTTATTAAGAGGTTGTGAACAGGAAGATGAGACCAAGCACATGCTTTGCAACTGC